GGGGGGCTGGCCCCAAAATTTTGGGTAGCCGTATCCCCCCTAAAAATTGAGTTACAAAATTTTCTTTTGGACTTACAAAACGTTACAAAACACTTAAAAAACGTTGGCGTTGTCAGAATCTATCGATCGTAAAGTGGGGGGGCTGGCCCCAAAATTTTGGGTAGCCGTATCCCCCCTAAAAATTGAGTTACAAAATTTTCTTTTGGACTTACAAAACGTTACAAAACACTTACAAAACGTTGGCGTTGTCAGAATATATCGATTGTAAAGTGGGGGGGCTGGCCCCAAAATTTTGGGTAGCCGTATCCCCCCTAAAAATTGAGTTACAAAATTTTCTTTTGGTCTTACAAAACGTTACAAAACACTTACAAAACGTTGGCGTTGTCAGAATCTATCGATCGTAAAGTGGGGGGGCTGGCCCCAAAATTTTGGGTAGCCGTATCCCCCCTAAAAATTGAGTTACAAAATTTTCTTTGGACTTAGAAAACGTTACAAAACACTTACAAAACGTTGGCGTTGTCAGAACATATCGATCGTAAAGTGGGGGGGCTGGCCCCAAAATTTTGGGTAGCCGTATCCCCCTTAAAAATTGAGTTACAAAATTTTCTTTTGGACTTTCAAAACGTTACAAAACACTTACAAAACGTTGGCTTTGTCAGAATTTATCGATCGCGAAGTGGGGGGGGATACCATTTCTCCAGCCCCCCCAAAATGAAGTTATCCATTTGAACCATTTGGAGTGACTTACAACATTTTTTTTTAGACTTACAAAACGTTACAAAACACTTACAAAACGATGGCATATTTTTCATATTTTTTTGTGGAAGTGGGGGGGGGCTGGTGAAATGGACCTGATTCTCATTATAGATATTATGTTAGTAGCTTTCTTGCTTAATATTATGCGGCTGAACCAGGCTTCCGTTGAGATGACCGGTTGGATTGATCCTAGTCTGGCTCCCTTGGTTTGTATATTCTCTGTCCAGTCTCTTTGCCACTGTTGCAGTACTGTACTTTTGGTTAGTCGTTGGTAGTTAGAGTAATGGATTAATTCTTTTGAGTAGTCTGTGGCGTTATTGAGGTCTCTGTAAAAATTGACGACCTGTAATACAGATGGACAAGATTCTAAAAACTCTCTGACTTTTAAAAAGAGGTGGCGGGGGATTCAAAACAAGTTGATGCTGTACATGCTAAAGTAGGTATTATATATGAAGTGGAAAATTTATTAAAAATTAGAAACTTAGAAAATATTGACTCATCAAAAACTAATTAGCAATAAATGTATATACATGAATTATGGTTTGTGTTGTAACGTCACCATCAACTGGTACCCTCGATGTGACCTCAAAATGCCATTATCAAGACGTCATCAAAGGCAAAGGATGACTCCATGATGTCATCAACGAGACTCGTTTCCATCGACGTTATCGACAAGTGCCTCCATGACGTCATGAACTGATGAGTCTATGGCGTCCTTGATGGGTGTCCCAATGACGTGATCGGGGGGGAGGATTGCTGGTAGATATAGCATTGTCATTTTCTCAACTTAGGGGGATTAAAATACAAGAGGAGAAAGGTAAGGCCTTGTCTCTACGGGACATTTTCATAGGATTTGTCCCAAGTTCGAATCGCAGGATTGAAACTTCTGGGATTTTTCCCAGTTACCGTCTCCACGGGACGGGGCTCATACAGTCCTGCGACTAGTTTGCGCGGGAAGATAAATTAAATAAAGTCGAGTATTTAACCGGGATTAAAATACTAATTGCTCTCAATTGACAATTATACACATTATTTTAACGAAACAAACATTAACAATGGAGTAATGAATAAAATATCGCACAATTCGTTTCACTTCTTCCTCTCCTCTCAGTGGGTCCTAGGGGACCTAGGGGTACAAGTACCATACTTGGTACTGGGAAAAACATTGATTAACTCAATATTTTTCCCAACTTCGTAAGTGGAATTTAACCCTGGGACAAATCTCGTGAAACGGCCCGCGGAGACAAGGCCTAAAGAAAAAAGTAAAAACATTCAGAGCGAAAAGAATCACTCTCAAAAATGGGCAACCACTGTTTGACTAGTTATTCCGATTAATCAGTCCACTGCCCCTTCTTTTATATCGACACAATTCCCCCTTACCTGCATTTCTCTGTAATATACCGTTAAAAAAAGGCAGCGTTCGGCCCGCAGTCCGGACAAGAAAACTTCTAAAAGTCAAAATTCTAAAATGAGCCACACGCTTCATATAGGTATCGTTCATATGTTCTCGCGGAGCGCCCTAACTCCTGTGCAATCCGCAGTCGCGCCACCACCGTCGTTTTGCAATCTGCACCCGAAATCTATTGCTGACAGCTCCCGTGTCCGGCACCGCTACAACTATTTCCTAGTAAAAATGAGAAGGTTCGCACGGTTAACGCTCTGCGTTGGAACGACCATACGTTGGAAGCAACCCCTTGTTTTAACTTATCAGGACTCGTGTCTTCGCCCCTCCTTCTTGCACAGCTTAATTTGAGTGCAATTTAATTACCAGCCATTATTTTGGTTTCGTTTCTTCCTAAAATTCGCCGCCCTCTTCACCCCCGAGTTAACCTCATAAACCAATCGGAATTCATTTAACGATTCCATATCCTCTTATCTTACTACATTATAAAATCCTAAGCCCTAAAATTGTCGAGATCTGTTTCCCGCTGTCCTGAAGTTACTACTGGAGCGAGAGTACGGAAGTTTTACAAAGATGTGAAACCTTATGTGCTGGAGCACGGCTGGATCTCCTTTTTTCGAATTTTTATTTTTAACCGAGTCATCGCGAAAAATCTGCAAATTTATTTTTGCCTTTATCGGAACTAATATTGATTCTATGAACTTGCAATTCGTTATGATAAAAGGGCAAGCTGAATTATGGTTATGCTGGAGCTTTTTGTCCATAAAATGTTTATAATTGGTCGAGTTATCGCGAAAAATTTAAAAAATTCACCATGTCTATGTGAAGGTGTACAGAGCACACCATTGAGCTCTGAGCATGGACCTTTCTACCCATTGATGGAGCCCTATACGCACACGTGCACCTCGAAGCCCGATTTTTGAAATTTTCACCCAGACGAGAGTAATATCATTTTTTCCAAATTTCCAAAAAATTTGGTTGTCAGATTGCGCATAAAAAGCACGGATTTCCTCGAAAGACAAATGAGCGTCTTCGATATTTTTTGGGACAGACGGCAGCGTCCTAAAACGCCCATAAATCTCTCTCGCGACGACGGGTTTCGCGTGGGTCGCCCGAGGTGTGAATGAATGATGAACGAATGGAGGGTTGAAGGTGGCGATCGGAACAGTGTCCAGTGCCCTTTCAGATGTGTCTTTTGCATACGCACGTAAAAACGAAGCTTCATTCGCATTGTTTCATTCAAACACGCATGCATGAAAATGCGGGAATTAATCGTAGAGTTGAGATCCAGTGCATTGAAGAGAATTCAGCCCCTCCGCGATTCCGTAAAATTGCATTCTTCTCTCAACAAATAAAAAAAGTTGCATTCAGGAAGAACACGTGGTTGCTCCGCGACTTAACTACCGGAAAGTACATAGTAGACGTTCGTGTTTGGTTATCTGACAATTGAAAAAGTTTAAGGACGCAGGTACTGAGAAAGTTCTGAAAGAGTTAAGGGGAAAAAGTGATTCCTCTTTGAGAATCGGCCGGATTTCATTGCGGAAAAGAGTGTAGAAAAATGGCTCATATGATCTGAAATAAATTATTGTGTGACTATGCTGGGTGAAGGTGCTCTGTGTTTATGCTACCAAGAAAATAAACTAGGACATTACAGAGAAGGTAGAACTCAACTATGGGCTACAGGCATTTGTGTGTGATGAAGAATTCAGAAGTATAAGTATGTTGAAAAACTGAGGCTGGCTACTTGTAGAAATTTTCAGTAATTAAAGCAGGATGTTCATGTTTCTGAGGAATGAAGTGGGGTCAGTTCACGCTAAATCAAACAGAGGTTGTGTTCGATCAACTGAGAAATTATTGATAACTCCTTAGAAAACATCCTTTTATGGGTTAAAAGAGATAAAAAATATTTAATTTTAATGTTTCAAGTCACATACTTACTCAGCCGCAGCATTGTTCTATGATCTTGTATATGGGCAAAAGTGCTGTTAGGGGTACTTAAAATTTATCTTAAAAAATAATACACCGGTTGTTAACAAAAAAACTAGGGGCTTTCAACTCAAGACCCTGAAGAACATGCATTCATAGTATATCAAAAATTTCTGAGTCGGTTGAGCAACAAATATTCTGAGAGCTGGTTGATATCACAAGGAATGAATAACCCAAGCGATTGACTTGATGGAGGAGAAGATTACTGAAATTTTAATGGGTAAAACGTGTAGAAGATTAGAAATAAAGTACCATGATAACAGTGAGGTAGACAGGATATTTTTTAAAAGGGCGAGAGATAATACAGTATTTAGATGTGAGCAGAAGAAATGTTAGGAAATTAAAAGATTTTAAGAATAAATTAAAAAAGGGAACTAATAATGTTTACAGTCAACAATGCCTGGGAAAATTATGAGCTATACTTATTCCCTAGTTGGCGTGAGTGAAAGAAGCTGGAACTGGAGGAGACTGCAATCTTATTCCATAAAAATAGAGATATAGGTAAGGAAGGCTACGTAGAAATAAGATTCGCCCTTGGGAGTTATTTAAAACAACAAAAAAAGAAAGATAATTCTTATTCGTTATAAATTCCTTTCAACAAACGAAACTTCATTTCATTTTCTGACTTAGAAAGCAAGTGCTTTTCAGTGCCACGTAGCTGTTCGTATAATTATGAATTTTAACATCTGACTAATAGATTTATCACCGAGCAGGCAAATGTTGTTAATCTTTATTCGCAGTTGTAAAGTACATACATTACACCCTAAATCACTGGAAATTAACTGGTGAGTATTGTCAAGTCTTTTTTACCATGGACTAAGATTCAGCTTCAACTGATGCTGAAGCTGATTCATGATTTTGTATCTAGGTACTTATTACTTCTCTCGTGTTTGATTTTTTTCTTAGAGAAATTTTTGAAGTCAAAGGTAGATCAAACTTTTGAGCCTTTGAGGTGTAATACTTTTTTTTTTTTTTNGTGCTCGGAGACTATTTAATGATAGGCTGGGGCTGTAGAAAATTTTAGAGGGAATCACAGCATGATGATAAAAATTTCTCAGTGATGTAATGATCTTGGATGAAATAGACATGGACTTATGGGATGACTGAAGTATTGTGTAACATACTTCGGAGGAGGTGAGGGTTTGAGTCTGTCCTCTGAACAAACTTATTGTAAAACTGTCCTTGATGTGGTGATGTGCGTGGATACGGGGCTGGAAAATTCTACTGACTTAGGCAGTATGCATCGATGCATTTTTGACCGCTGACTGCATTAAGCAGGTAGGAAACAAGTTGCAACAACTTTTGTTAACATTCATCGATGGGTATTTTTTTTTTTTTTTTTTTTTTTTTTTTTTTTTTTTTNTTTTTTTTTTTTTTTTTTTTTTATTTTTTTTTTCTTTACTGGAGGACGGTAATGCAGATTCTTTTGAATATGTCCCTAAAATTTTTAAAGGGGTTAAGAAACAAATACTCGGCGAAAATTTCACAGCAAAACCTTTTGAACCCGTTTTCCTGTAAAAAAATAAATTGTACGGTGAAATTTGGCAACAGCTGTTGTGACGATATTCCTTTCTGCCTAATGCAGTCAAATTTTTAATGCCAAAATTAAACTTCGCACGCCATGTAGGGGTGTGCAGCGCTGCTCGCCAAGCAGTGCTGCGCACGCAGCAATCCTCGAGTTCACGTCATTATAACGTTCCGAAAACGTTGCCGCAACGATACTAAAAAACGTTTCCTCAATGTTTCAAGAAGCTTCACCGAAACGTTTGTCGACAACGTTCAAACAACGTTCACGGTAACGTTGGCTCGCGCTGTCTTAAAATTATGGTTGCTGCGACGTTGGCCAACTTGTAGAGCTGCCGAATGTTCCCTAACTTCCCTACCCGTAAATTTTTAATGGCAGCATTCCCAAACCAGGTGCCTCGTAAACAGTATATCTCAAGCTTCTCGCCGTAAGAAGCAGCATTTTTAACAGTTTCCTGTGGAGAAAGGCAATAATTCTACGCTAAAACTTCGTGCTGCGGATTAATGAAGCGAATCAAAATCATCACTGTCCTAGCATTTTTCAAAGAACCTAATTGCAACTAGCAGCTCGCTACTTAAGGCTCTCTGTACACCCCTGTTGATGATTTTTTTTTTTTTTTTTTTTTTTTTTTTTNTTTTTTTTTTTTTTTTTTTTTTTTTTTTTTTTTTTTTTTTTTTCAAAGTTCTTCCGTCATGAAAGAAAGTTGAGAATTTGCCTCTAGGTACTGTAATTGCAATTTTGCTAACCAATGTTCGCTCTAATTTTTGTAGGAAGAGTACAATGACGCACATGACATGCAAGTACCTGAGTCAGTTCCTGCTACTCCAAATAACTGGTCTTCATACACACACATCAACTGGATTTCATTATGACTTTGTTTAATTTAAAATTAATCTTAATCATCTCTCATTGAGATTGCATCCACTCATTATAT